CTGTCCCCCCTCCTTTCCTCATTAGTAGCCAACAGCCTTGTGCAGTAGGACCTGTGGATGGAGACATCCCAAAAAGGGAAAGCTAGGATCCTCTAGGAATTCCCATCAACGTGCCAAACACAAAATACCGAAACAACCCCCTCTCAGCAACAGACTAAATATGGTGTATACCCAAAGGATCAGAGCACAGTCCTGGGTGAAATAATTTTGCTTGACATCCACAGCCCTGTCTTCTCTGGAAAATAAATCCTCCTGGGAAAGATGGATGAGGGTCATATTGATCTCTGCATCCTAAAAAAATACCTATGAGTGGAGGCTGGGCTGCGAACCTATGCTGTCACTCAGTCAAAATACCAGCACTTGCAGGTATGACAGACCTGTAGCCCCTTCTTCTACCTCTGCCCAGCAGTCAACAAATTTAAGTAAACAGCAGAGAGGGGAAGAGCATCAGGGTTTCTTCCCTGCCACATAGCAGAAATATCAGGTATGGACTCATGCTCAGGCCTTAGTTGGAGAAGACCAGAATTGCCGACACAGTCTCACGGTTCCAGCGGTTGCAGCCTGTCCTTCCAGACGGAGGGTCGGTGGCCGCTGAGGTGCAGGGCTGCCACGCAGCCGTGCAAAGCCCTCCCAGGAGCTGAAAGGCACCAGTGTCATATCAGACTTGTGCACGTGTGGCTGTTGGAGCAAAGCCAGGGGAAATGATCGCCAAGGTGTAAATCCAAGAAACTTGCCCTTGTTAGCAGAAAGTTCTTCACTATGTAGTTCACCCTATTTTTTTTTTCAATTTCTCAGTTGCAAGCTTAGCTTTTAAATAGCAATATAATTAATATAAAAAAATGAAATGCAAGGGGATCCTCTGAAAAGTATGATCGTTTTAACATTCATCAAAGTAATCTTAAGAAGTAACTTCCAAACCCATGCAGCTGTTTCACAAAACCAGGCACATTTCAATAGTAGCTTAAAAAGGAGTGGAAATTATTCCAGCTGGTTTGCGAACCGCTGCATGTGCACATGCAGGCTTGCTGCCTGAGTGGTGTGTTTAACAGAGACAGTGGTGGAGGGTGATATATGATGTGTCATTAAACGGAGCTGGAAAGTCTTAACAGTTGCAGTCTTGAGCCATGTGGGAGAGGAACTGATAAGTGTAAGCGTGGCGTCCAACCTTCACTTAATAGTTCATGTAAGAATATACTAATATAATAGCCTGGTTGGGCTTTCCTAAATGTTGTGGTATTTTTAAACCAGATCTGTGGGTTCCCAGTGGACGATGCCTTTGTGACAACAAAATAAGCTTTATTTTTAAACTCCTGGGGTTTTTTGTTTATTTATTTTAATTACTTTTCTAGAAAAAATAAAGTATTGAGCAGTCTGCCCTTAAATACCTCCTTGCTGAATTTGCACTGTAAATATTGTACTTGGAAAAAAATAAAAGAGGACTTGAGAAGGAAAGAAACGAACTCTCAGCTGCCTTACCACAGTGTAACCTGAATACAATGGAGGGAAAAAGGAAAAGCATGGATGGTGATGTTAGTTTGTTAAATAATGTATGTCAGGTAAGCAATTTTTTCTGTTTAATAATGTTTTTACCTAAGTTTACTGTGTTGCTCTGAGCTGACGTGTAATTGGGACTGACAAGCGTACCAGTGGGTTACCACCTGTGGAAACCTGGGCTCTTGCAACAGGATGGACAATCTGTGTCCAAATTAGAACAATTAATTATGAAAGTAGTCTGATGAGGTAAATTAGTGCTTAATGTTAAGCATTGTGCTTAATGCTGGCTGTAGGTCAAGTGAAGTATGTGAAGCATGCAGGTCAGTTCTGAATCAGTTGGACAGCAGCTGCTACTGAAAGAGTGTCTTTACAAGTGTGAACACATATTTTGGGTTTATTTTCCTAAACATAATCACCCAAAGATAATCACTCCTCCGGAAAACTGACCAACTAACACCAAGATTCAGGTTGATACAAAGGGCACGCAGGAAGGAAAGCGTAACCGACTCCTTGGAGCGGGTTGATAAAACTCAGAAAAAAAAAAATTCCCCTGTGCATGACAGAAACTAATACCCCTGAAACAGCACTGACGCTGTGGAGTCTCTAAACATAGTTTTCCTCTGATGTTAGGAGAGAGCAAAAATTTGGTTTTACAGATTTTTTTTCTTTTTAAACTTGTGGGTTAAGTTCTTCTAAAGTTCTTTCCAGATCTGATATCCACACCAAACTTCACTGGCTCTTTGTCACCTTCACTTGTGATATCACACTTAGAGAAAGAACAGCCTCTTTTAATGTAAATCCCTCCATAACAGGCTCACTTACTGTCTTCTATCTCAAATAAAATTCAGAAATGCATTTTGCTCATTAAAACCCCCAAATTCTACGTGCTTATATCTTTTTTCATTTTCTGATATAAGTAGAAAGAAGAAAGGCAGTTAATGCAAGACATCACAGCCTGTAATTAAGCTAGATGGAGCTTCTGAAATTCTTTGAGAAAATAATTTTTGTGTGTGCTCACCTAGATGGCAATTTACTCTGAAACCTGAACCTCTGGCTTTAGGGGTGTGAATAATTTTCGTCTAAATACTGACCTTGCCTAGTTTAAACTTTTAATGAATGTTTTTTTGAAAGTGCAGATATATTTTATGTACAAATAAGTATTACTGGAAATACACTTTAATTTGATTTTAATTTGCTTGTACAATGACTATACTTTGAAACAAGAGATTGTTCCAAAACCCCAAATCTGTACTGTGAGGGTATTGGACAATGAGGTGAAGTGCATGTTGCACTGAGAGCACACGGGCAGCTCCCACCTGCCCTCCCAGCATAGGATCCTGGTGATGGGCTAAAGCTGCAATCCCCAAAGAAAATAACCTGAGATTCCCTTCTGTTTTAAATGGATTTCTATTCTGGTTTCAGATACATATCTTTACCTCAAAGCTCAGTGAAGGACATGCTTGTAACCACCTCTGCTTTCGTGGCTGTGGAGACCACGAGCCTGCTCAGCTGTGTGCTTGGGAGAGGGAAAGTACCAAACATCCCTTTGCCTTCCTTAACCATAACAAAAATTAGATTTGATTTCTACCACTAAAAATCAATTTCCCAGGGAGCTCCATGGCACCTGGGCAGCTTCTGTATGATCTGTGGTGGGCAGACAGAAACCAGATGCAATGGCTTTTGCCACACTGGAAGATTTGCATAAGCAGAGCATGTTAGAGCTTCTGTGTTTCCCAGAGCCTTTTCCCTTGCCCTTGAAAAGACAATTCAGATTTCAAATATATAGAACAATTCTACCCATTGGGTTATAGAGAAACAGAGGTTTAGCATTTAACATCTGGAAAACCCAAGTTAAAAATGCAGGGATTTCTGTGGCCAGAGCAATCATATCTGCATCATTCAGAAGTTCAATTTTAAAACTTTCCATAGAGGCACTTTCAGCTCATTCTGAAATGAAAGCAATTTGCAAATAACAGCTTAGAAGACCATTTTTCTACTGTATTTTTAGACAGAGAAATTAAGAGAGGGATCAGTGATTCTGAGTATTTGCATTGATGTGGCAGGAAAGATCCTAGTGATGAGGCAGGATCCCATGGTGGTAGGTTTTACACAGATGGCTCTTCAGCCAAGTAGTTTAACCTGCCAGTGGTGTTAGCACAGAGCAAACAGCGAGGGCATACAGAGATAATTTATCTTGCTTAACCCAATGGTCAATTGTAATTGAAACAGAGCTACACAAGGCTTAAAGATGGATTTGATTGATGTATATTTGTAAACACATGTCCTCCCCTCTTGGAAACAGTCCTGAGATACTTATGAAATCAGCAAATAGGGAGCTGGCATCATTGCCAATCACACAAAGGGGATGAGCTCCCTGCTGAGGCTTGAAATGGAAAAATGCAACTTCACCTTTCAATCCATAACTGTTCTCTGCACTCCACATCAGAGTAGAGGCTAGGCTGCTTATAAAATAAAACAAAACCAAGAAACAAACCACAAACCTGTAAGGCTAACTGGGTCAACTCAAGATTAAGGCAAAACTTTGCAGTCTGTACAACTCAGGGTCCTTTAATTTAAATTCACAAACTGCCTCTTCTTGTCCTCTCTTTTTTCCTTGCTTACTGTACCATTTATATAACAATTAAGATTTTTAAGAACACAGCCCTAAAAATTTATTCACACCAGACTCCTCTCAGTACCACTGGAACCATTAACATCTATAAATTTTATTAAAATGAGAAAAATAGCTAACCTGTTATTTTTCATGTACCTCTGTAAGTTTGGCTTTTAAAATTAATCACCATTTCAAAACCTGTAAATACCCCAGCTAAAAAAAGTTCTGGGAATCAGTGATCTATTATCAACTTTATTTTTAGCTTTGCCTGACTGAGTTTCATGTCATTTGGGAAAAACACAGAAGTTCCTCTCCCTCCCATATACTCAGTGTTACACTGTACAATTTATAGCAACTCCAGATGGAAAAGACTTGCCCTCATTTGTTTGTTGGCATTAAGATAAATATAGTCCTCATTTCTGGAGAATTAAAAAAACCCTATTCCTCTAAAGCCCTTCAATTTTCTATTCAAATTTCTTTTCCCATACTTACCCAAAAGTAGCAGTTTCTTCTTAAAGAAGAAGGACTAAAATGCTTAGTTTGAACACTTGCAAAATACCACACAGAATAAAACTGAAAAATTTTATTTAAAAAACACAGGAAAGACATAACATAATAAGGAAAGTCCAGCAATTATAAGTTACCTGATAAATTCTTATAGAGTAAAACCAGTATTTTTAGGCCCAACTGTAGACACTTCACTATTCTGACTTCATATACAGCTTTCCTGCTATCGGCACTGGAGGAAGAGCGCTGTTAGCCTTTGCTATTTTTTTTCATTGACAGTAAGTATGGACCTGACATCCTGTCTCATGGGTAGATTTAACAAGCTGAAATGGTCCCACTGGACATATTGAGGAAATTTATGCAAAGAAGAATTTCCTAAATTAACTCTCACAGAACTTTACGTGAGAAATGAGCATATGAAAGATATCATCTGTTTATACTTTGTAAAATAAGGGGCTCTTCGATGCTTGTGCCAGCCATCCTTCCTGGTTCTGGAATTCTATCTGAAAATGAAACACAGACATAAATATTCTCACTCATCTGGTGATTCTAAGGTGTGTTATTTTCTACTATTATAAACTTTCATACAGAATATCATCATAGGAAACTTGGGCAATTTTCCCAATATATTCTTCCATGCAACTGTATGAGAGAAGAGCTTTGCATTACTAAAGATTAGATGTCAGACAACTTCAACTCAGCCACAGTGAATGAACTAACAGAAATACCAGAGTCTGTACATTTTATCAGGACTCCTAGTCTGTATACCAGTTTATTGGAATATTCATTCAACTAAATAAGCAAGATCATTTCTAATACGAAAAGCAAGAGTTAGATGTTAAAATATGAGACTGGAAGGGCTGAGTTTATGAATGGACTTGATTACCTTAATATGCAGCCTTATTAAAATAGCTAGATAATTAGTATTTTAAACCCACTGCCTTTAGGTCTCCACCAGCACATGCAGAAAGTAATTTCAGACTATAGTTACTTAAAGGTTAAAAGCCTTAAAACAGTTTTAATTTTGCTTAGTTTAAAAAGCAATGTGCTGTCAAGTCTTATGATTAATCCCGAGTTTTATAACTAACTCTAAACTATTAGATCCCCTTGTGAAATTACATTAGAGTCAACAGGGCAAGGTGACCCTGCACAGAGTCAATTTCAGAACTGACCTACAAAGTTATACTTTAAAAACTATTCTTCTATATACTGAATTTGTTTTTAAAAATTGATAAATTCATGTTAGGAATAATTATTTTCTAAGAAAGAGATCATTTATAGCAGTTTTGGCATTGAATTTTTTTCTTCAGCCCCCTCTTCTGGCAGAAGGGAAACAACATTGTCTCAATTAATTAACTGTTAAGGTATGTAGTACTTCTCTCACAGTTTTTAGATGTCAGTATCTCAGGCCTCTTATCTTTCAAATTTTTGGATACAAAAGAAAGAGTTGATAGTACTAACACAACAGCACTCAACAGTAATATGCCAAGCAGACTGAAAGAAAAAACTGGACCAATGATCCCTTTCATTCTGTAGCTTAGGCAGTATGAATTGTAACCAGTCAAAAAGCAGACCAGAAAGGGAAAATAAGATTTATCAGTGTTCTACTATACAGCAAGGAACTTGGAGCTTAAAAGCTTCTACGGTTAGTGAGATGTGAATTACATCCTCAGAAAAGGGTTTATGCCCATGTACAAAATTGACAGCTAAAGAGTTAAAAACTTTCTATAGAAATTAGGTAAGTTAGAACAGATGAACAACAGAGATATGCCCACTATTTAACATACTTTACTGAGAATTCAGGTTAAATTCTTGTATAAAATTGCCAATGTAATGAGACTGTCTCTAGCTGACCCATTCCAGATTTGTAATAGTATAAGGGAGTACAATTCGGCCAGTTTTAACTTTCAGGAAAATGGTAAATCAATCTGGTGGATGACCTTTTCTCCTGGTCTTTACCAACTGCAGAGCAGCAAAACTACTTAGACCAGCACAGCTGTCTAATTTAAATGAGTTTTCAGTTTTTAACAGTCCACAAGCCTTAAGAAAATAAAGCTAAACAATTAGGCTTTTTCCCCTTCCCTCTAGTAACTAACAAGTAGCTACAGCTACCACAAGGTAACAGGAGCTTCACAGTACCCTGCACTGTTGAGAAATTATACAAATTTGGGTGTTTGCAGTTTTTAAAAAAGTCTGCTTTATAACTAAATGCATTCCCCTATTAGACAAAAAGTTCCACTACCGACACATTTGAAGGCCAGTCAGGCACTTCTGCGGGCAACCAGATTTGTATGCCATGTGTGCTATCCCACTAGCACACCAGCAGAGAGAAGGAGGCCTCAGAGTTGGTCACTCTTTTAAACAAAGGCACAGACACGGGTTGTTTTAGAAATCATGGGTGGGCCTTTCCTGAATTGGATATAGTAAGACCTTTCTTAAATGAAAACACGAGCAACAGGTATGGTCAGCTCAAATAAAACTTCTGCAAAAATGACCCCATACTCACACCCACCTTTTTGATTTCTCTCAGTAGGTGGTTTGCCAAGGTTCTGCTTTGGATAATTCAGCAAGGACACTTTTGGAAGGGTATTCTGGGTACTTTCTTCTTTACCACCATGTAAGAAATGAGAGAGAATTCCATACAAGAGAGGTCTGCTTAAGAGAGAAAGGACAAAAGGAGTCTATGAAATACTGAGCATTAAAAAACCACACTGTCCTCAGAACTTCTGAGACATTAATGTTTACTTCTACAGTATATAAAGATGTCTTTAGAGTAATTATTTAAAAAACATTATGCCAAGTGTCATTATATAAATAAGCACAGACCTAAGCCCACCCTGAACACCAATACTCCTAAGCCCCGCACTAAGGGACTCTCTCAACTAAGCTCCAGACCCCTTGTAGGTGAAGAACCGGAGCATGCTTAGCACAAGAACACAGATCCATTTTCTCACCCGTGCAGTATGAAGGATCAGACTTTGGTGGGCTGCACATCCCAAACTTGATTCTTCCTAAGCACCTGACAGCACAAGCTACAGAGAACACTGAACATGTTTAAGTCTGCTCCAATACTCTAGCTCATTATTGCAGTTGTATCGGAGCATTGTGAATTTATATCTGATCTCAGAGTGCAGTAATCATTTTATTGCTCTATAAAGCAACTCACTGATATGCAAAGACAGTATCTGTTTTCTTCTTCTGACTGTAGGGAAATCTGTACTGGTAGAGACTTGTGTTTTGGTGTGCAAGTACACTATCTGGAGAATGCTACAGAGTTGACAGAATTAAATGTTAGTTTTAAGTATGTTTGAAAATGGCTCCATGTTTGACATTGTGAGTTTGAATCCAGCATGTCAGAGCAGCCCTGTGATCTTGTCACGTTTCAGTTGGTGAAAACATTTATATGTGATTTATAATAACACCAAATAGAAAAATATATGCAGAACAGAATACACTGTGCATTCCAAAATCACTCCTTACACTGATTTTCCACTTGCGTCTTCAACTATGTTCAGCTCTTTGGCAAGAAACTGTCTGTCCAAGGGCACTACAGGCTGGCCAGATTCTGGAAAAGAGATTTCCCCAAAGTTCTTAAGACCAGTAAGAAAAATATCACCAATTAACTTTTAAAGATTGCTCAGGAGACTTCAAAAGAGAATGAGAGCACACACCGCCCTTTTAAACTATTAATATCTAACAGTATATTGTAATTCCAGGGAACTCACTCACACATTAGTGCTTCACACTCATGTAATTTACAATAGCATATTACAATTTTTATCTTTACTCCAAAGGAACCTAAGAAACAGATAAATTAATCAGGCAAACAACTCTAAGTAAGTACTGTTAGCAAACAGATTCCATACATTAACTACTATACAGTCTCCATTCCCTCTTATTGAGATGAACCTTTGTGCCTGTAATTTTAGTAGAGTGAAATATATCAAATTCTTGAATAGCAAATGTAATTACTGTATCTAAGCACAACACAGAACTTTGAATTTCAAATACAAGTTAGCAATAGCTGCAAAAATAACTGTGTGCTGTACCACATAAACTACGGCTGCCAGTTAGATGCTGTAGTCTAAACAGCTCTCAAGCATTAGTATTTTAGGACAGCCAGAAACAGTAATACTTAACTGCAGTTGTTAAAAAATATGGACCTTCATATTCTTTTTTGTTGTGTAAGCTGAGGATAGCTAACCACATTTCTGATAGTCTATATGCATGAATTGCCAGAACTGCTGTAACTCAGACTATCAACTACTTTATGTACATATTACTTTAGTTTAAATTATTCCTCAAAAAAAATGTGTTCATTTGTAGGATTTCTGTTTTTTTATTTTACACAAACACCAATGAGAAAAAAGTGATATATGCTTTAAAAATATTGTCAGTCATTTTCCAAAAGAAAAGCAGATATTTCAAGAAAAGTATTTTGATTTTGCAAGCTGCTAGCAAGTTTTCTTGTTCTTGCATCTGCTCTGTCGAAGCATTTACCTTGAGGATAAGGAGCAAAGGGTAAGTTTTCTTGAAAACTAATAGTATGATTTGGGTTAATGCTGCAAGTAAAGCTGTGGAAAGAGAAAAAAATATCTTGTTTATTTCCAAAGGAAGAAAACATTGCGCAGCTTGGTCGCACTTATTAACTTCATAATATCAGTGGAATTATTCAACAAAGCAGTAAATGTCTATGAACAGAGTGATGACAACAAAATTTCAGCCCCAATACCTGCAGTTAAAACAGATGCTGCATATTTATATTTGTTATATTCCAGATATTCACGAATTAGTTCGTTGATTAAGAGATTTTCATGAGACAGCGGTGGCCGCGGTTCACTTTGGTCATCCAGCGCATTAAAAACTTCAGCTCTGATCCTCGCTTTTATTTGTCCCAGAGCACCTCTTTTTTCCAGCGTGTCCTTTAAAACTATTACCATAAACAGATCTGTTAATATAAAGCCAAACATATTCAAGCAGCATTTATTATCCACAATACAAACACGATTTCGGCACATTCACAGTGAAACAGAGATAAGATATTGGCACCTGCGCGGACGCCAGGAGGTGACAACAGCAGGAACGTTACAGATAAAAATTGTGCCTTCAAAGGACTCACAGTGTGCGGTTTTTTTAGTAGTAAACATACGTTCTAGCAATTTCAGAAGTGGGATGTTCCTGGATCACGATGTTTTTAACGAGTGGGATCCAGACCGAGACAATGACAGGACAAGGCAGTGGGTGCGGGGAGGCTGCGGGACGCGGCTCCACAACGGGCGGCGTGAGGAC